TAAAGTTTCAAGATACACAATCAATGTACATGAATCAGTAGCACTGCTGTACACCAACAACAACCAAGCTGAGAATCAGATCAAGAATGCAATCTCTTCTGTAAGAGTTTCAAATAAATAAAATAAAAATCATAGGAATATACCTAATGAAGGAGATAAAAGATCTCTACAAGGAAAACTACAAAACAGTGCTGAAATAAATCACAGATAACACAAATGGAAACACATCCCATACTCAGGAATGGGTAGAATCAATATTGTGAAAATGACCATACTGCCAAAAGCAATCTACAGATTCAATGCAATTCCCATAAAAATACCACCATCATTCTTCATAGAACTAGAAGAAACAATCCTAAAATTCATATGGAAACAAAAAAGAGCCTCTTTAGCCAAAGAAAGACTAAGCAAAAAGAACGTTATCTGACTTCAAACTCTGCTACAAGGCTATAGTTACCAAAACAGCATGGTACTGGTATAAAAATATGCATGTAGACCAATGGAACAGAATAAAGAACCCAGAAATAAAGCCAAATACTTACAGCCAACTGCTCTTTGACAAATCAAACAAAAACATAAGGTGGGGAAAGGACACCCTGTTCAACAAATGGTGCAGGGATAATTGGCAAGCCACATGTAGAAAAATGAAACTGGATCCTCACCTCTCACCTTATAAAAAAAATCAACTCAAGATAAATCAAAGGCTTAAATCTTTTTCTTTTTCTTGAGACAGAGTCTTGTTCTGTTGCCTAGGCTGGAATGCAATGACGCAATCTTGGTTCACTGCAAGCTCTACCTCCTGGATTCAAGCAATTCTTGTGCCTCAGCCACTTAAATAGTTGGGATTACAGGCACACACCACCATGCCTGACTAATTTTTGTATTTTTAGTAGAGATGGGGGTTTTTGCCATGTTGGCCAGGCTGATCTCAAACTCCCTGCCTCAAGTGATCTGCCCGCCTTGGCCTCCCAGAGCACCGGGTTTATAGGCATAAGCCACCATGCCCAGCTCGAAGACTTAAATATAAGACCTGAAACCATAAAAATTTTAGAAGATAACATCTGAAAAACTCTTCTAGACATTGGCTCCAGCAGAGTTAATGACCAAAAATCCAAAAGCAAATGCAACAGAAATGAAAATAGATGGGACCTAATTAAACTAAAAAGCTTCCAAACAGTGAAAGAAATACTCAGCAAACAGACAACCCATAGATTAGGAGAAAATCTTTGCAATCTATACATCCAACAATACTATCCAGAAATTACAAGGAACTCAAACATATCAGCAAGAAAATACAATTCCAGGCTGGGCATAGTGGCTCACGCTTGTAATCCCAGCACTTTGGGAGGCTGAGGTGGGCAGATCACCTGAGGTCAGGAGTTCAAGATGGCGTGGCCAATGTGGTGAAACCCCGTCTCTACTAAAAATACAAAAATTAGCTGGGCATGGTGGTGCATGCCTGTAATCCTAGCTACTCAGGAAGCTGAGGCAGGAGAATCACTTGAACGCAGGAGGTAGAGGTTGCAGTGAGCCGAGATCATGCCACTTCACTCCAGCCTGGTGACAGAACGAGACTGTCTCAAAAAAACAAACAACAAAAAACAACAAACAATCCCATCAAAAAGTGGGCAAAGGATATGAATAATTTTCAAAATAAGATATACAAATGAAAAAATGCTCAACATCACTAATTATCAGGGAAATGCAAATTAAAACCACAATGAGATACTGCCTTATTCCTGCAAGAATGGTCATAATTTAAAAAAAAAAAAAAAAAAAAAAATAGACCTTGGCATGGATATGGTAAAAAGGCAACACGTTTACACTGTTGGTGGGAATGTAAACTAGTATAACCACTATGGAAAACAGTATGAAAATACCTTCAAGAATTAAAAGTAAAGCTACTATTTCATCCAGCAATCCCACTACTGGGTATATACCTAGAGAAAAAGAAGTCATTATATGAAAAAGACACTTGCACACGCATGTTTGTAGCAGCACAATATGCAACTGCAAAAATATGGAACCAGCTTAAATGCCTGTCAACCAACAAGTGGATAAAGAACATGCGATATATTTATATACCATGGAATGCTACTCAGTCATAACAAAGAATTAAATAATGGCATTTGCAGCAACCTGGATGGAGTTAGAGACCATTATTCTAAGTGAAGTAACTCAGGAATAGAAAACCAAATATCATATGTTCTCACTTACAAGTGGGAGCTAAGCTATGAAGATGCAAAGGCATAAGAATGATACAATGGACTTTGGGGACTCCGGGGAAAGGTGGGAGCAGGGATGAGGGACAAAAGACTACACACTGGGTACAGTGTACACAGCTCAGGTGATCAGTGCACCAAAATCTCAGAAATCACCACTAAAGAACTTATTCATGTAACCAAAACCACCTGTTACCCCAAAACTATGGACATAAAATTTTAAAAATAAATAAAATATATTCTAGGAAAATAAAGATGAAATCCAAAAAGAAATAAGAAGGCTGGGTGCGGTGGTTCACGCCTGTAATCCCAGCACTTTGGAAGGCAGAGGTGGGTGGATCACCAGGTCAGCAGATCGAGACCATCCTGGCTAACACCGTGAAAACCCATCTGTACTAAAAATACCAAAATAATTTAGCCAGGCTTGGTGGCGGATGCCTGTAGTCCCAGGAGAATGGTGTGAACCCGGGAGGCGGAGCTTGCAGTGAGCCGAGATTGCGCCACTGCACTCCAGGCTGGGCAACAGAGGAGGACTCCGTCTCAAAAAAAAAAAAAAAAAAAAAAAAAAAAAGAAATAAGAAGACATCAGATACTAGAATCTGAGGAACTGAGCCAAGGAATGGAATGAAAACGTAAAAGGAGACTTATAGTAACAGGTCAAATTTAGAACAAAAAGTCACTGGGTTTCACGAACAATTCCTCCAAGAAGACTGGAATGGAAGAGAGCATGAGTAAAAAACTTGATCATTTTCACATATGATAAGAAAGTTACATGCTTCTTGTTTGGAGGCTGCAGATCTCAGTGACAATAAGCATGAATCAAACTGCTGGGTTCTTCCTGGTTCTTATACATTGATCTCAGGAAATTTGCTTATCTTCTTTGTGCCTCTTTTTTCTCAGGGATAATAGTATTTACGTCATTGGGTTGTTGAGGATGTAATTTTTCTTTGAACAGTGCTTGAGGCACATATGCAATTACATGTTTGCTATTATTATCATCATTTCCCACAAGAAAAAAGAAAGGCCATCACAAATTCCAAGAAAAAACATAAAAGTGTACTAGACAGTTAAGGTCCAAATATGAGGGAAACGAAAACATGGCATTTTTTTAGTAATAGTGAAAAAAGAGTCCATTGTTGCTAAATTGTACCCACTGAGAAGAAAGGTAATCCAAGCACATTACACTTTGTTCTGTAATGATTATTACAGAGACATTACTATAATGTAAATGAAAAGATTATTTATATTATCATAATAATATAAATGCTGTTAATAGTATTTTGAGTTTTAGAATTAACCTACAAACAAAACATAAAGGCTTAATCAGAGCTCAAAGCTGAATATAATAGTTAACCTAAAAAATGTAAAAGTAAATATATCCTTGACCTAGGGAAGAAGTGTGGAAGAGAGTTGGAAGATAGGATAAAACTGTTAAGATCTTCATCGTATATAAAGGGGAATCAGGAGTTGGTGATTAAAAATGATGGGGAAAAAAGTTAGATATATTATTTCAAGTTGCAAAAATTAACAGAAGAAACAAAAAAAGTAACTATAAAAGATCAGAAGAGGAAAGTGGAGAGAGGCAGGATGTAGAGTGGTATAAACAATCTTTGTTACTGATTTTCAGTAGATAATGTTTAAAGTTGATAAATTAAAATCAGCAGTAGAAACTCATTCTTTAGAAATATGGAGTTAATCTTATAAGGTACTGAAACCCAAAAACGTTAAACGTGGTTGCCTCTGAAAAGAGGAAATTAGAAAAGGAAGCAGAGAATGAAAGGGCTGTGTGTTCTTATTAGTGTTTCTCTACTATTTGCTTCTAAAATATCACATAGATATTTTTATGTTTAAAAAATTAAAATTTTACAATTTTTACATAAGATGCTAGTAAATGTATTATGATGAGTAAGCTGACTGTGATGTTATGTTGTAATATATATCTTGGGAGACTTTTATTAACCATGAACCTAAATAAAACATGAAATTAAATAAACCCTGTAGATGAAGATAAAACTGATAATCCTTTTAATATTTTTTAAAATATAAAATGTAGGAATATGCAGCAAAATTTGTTATTAATTATGGCCCTAAGTCTGTATTTCTCCATGTTTCTTTATATATTATATATATGTATATATAAAATACAAAAATTAATACCTAAGAGACTCTCTAAAGTGACTTTCCCTTGCTAATTCTCTGGTTTAATTTATCTCCCTAGTTTCCTATATAAAATCTACTGAATGATGTCCAAGGCACTCTCAATGCTCAAAGCTAGTCACTCCAGCATGCCCATGAACTTCTGCTCAGTGATATCAAGAGTCAGTAGTGTTGGTTCCAAACCTGTTTGTGGTAGTTGCTGTTGCAATTATGTAATTTGATTAACCACCACACATAGCATGCTCAAAACAAGCAAAACAAGGTTTTGGTTATACATTAAAAGATTAACAAATGATATATATTTTTATTTGATAAATTTGAATGTTTATACATGTATGATTTTTATGATGCTCTGTCTTAACTGACTTTATAAGTGCTAGTCCTTATCATATTCAATAATCTCTACTGTATTGAAATATCTCCAACAAAGAATATATTATCTTCTCTAATATCTCCATACATAAAGTTTTATGTAATATCAAAGATGAAATCAGTTTAACATTTGATCATTTTGAATCCTAAAATTCACTTGAATTTGGGATTTGTAGGAGCATATATAAAATTATTAGGACTAATTTGAATTTCTATTAAGTATTTATGGAGTATACAAATTACACCTACCTCAGTTGTATCCTGAAGATAAAGATAGGGTCTAATAGATCTTGATTTTAGATGTTCTTCTACTGGCTCTAAAGAAACAAACTCAAACATAAGTATTTCCATGCTATTAAGTTACTTCTAATTAAACCCAATCAACCATTGTCTCCACTGCAGTAAACTTTTAAGAAATGTAAATGAGTAATTTTATTTGCTTACATATGCATTGCTTGTACATGGTTAGAGCTAAATCTATTTTAGAATAATTTGCCCTAAAAGTGAATTTCTATTAACAGACTATAACTTTCAATTATTTACTATTTTTACAACTATTAACTGTTTATACAATAAAGCTATATTGTATTGGAAAATGATGGATTTCTAAATAAAACAGAATCGTATGTGTTATTCAAAAAATATTTTGGCTAATTCCTTTGAAAAGAGAAATAGAAATGGTCTCTTCTACCTGCATTTCTCTCATATTCAGTTATGAGTTTTGTTGATCTGAATTATCATCCAATGGATATCCTTAAAGTAAGTATGGTGCAGGGGTCAGGCATACAGACTTTGGACTTAGATAGCCTGGGTCCAAATTGCACTTTTTGTGTGAGTTACATAGCCATAGTCATAGGAAAGTTACTTAACATTTATGAGTCTTACTTTTCTCATTTGTTAACTGGAAACAATAGCACTTATAGAAATACTTTCAGAGTTAAATGAGATAATTGATGTAACAAATTTAATACGGAGTCTGGTAGTCATCAATCAATAGTTATTTGTTGATCAACTACTATAAGCCAGGCACTGATGGACTCTGGAATTGTGACTCCTGCTCAATGATGCATATATTTTAGTGGGTAATATGGAAGATTTAAAAAAAAAAAAACAAGACGTTGGACTGGTGAAGTGACTTACACCTATAACCCCAGCATTTTGGGAGGCCAGGCCAGGTGGATCACTGGAGCCCAGAAGTTCGAGACTAGCCTGGGCAACATGGTGAAACCCTGTCTTTAAAAAAAAAAGTACAAAAATTAGCTGAGTGTGGTGGTGTGCCTGTAGTCTCAGCTACTCAAGAGGCTGAGGTGGAAGGATTACTGAGCCCAGGGAGGTCAAAGCTGCAGTGAGCCATGATCACACCACTGCATTCCAGTCTGGGCAACAGAGTGAGACCCTGTCAGGAAAAGAAAACCAACAAAAAAACCAAGGGGTGAATAATTGAAATTTATTCTGTAACAGAAATAAACACATTTTGGTAAGGGAGAACCATAAAAGAGGTATATTGTTGAAAGGGTAGTCAGAGGAGGCCTCTCTGAACAGATGACATTTAACCAAATATGCAAATGAGCTGTAAGCAGCATGAATAGAGTATCAGAGTGTTTAGGCAGAGGGGAAAATATATATTCCTCTCAGGAAATCTGGCAGTTGTACTGAAAAGAGGCTAATGAAATTGCAATTTATTTACTTTGAGATGGAGTCTTGCTCTGTCGCCCAGCTGGAGTGCAGTGACACCATCTCGGTTCACTGCAGGCTCCACCTCCTGGCTTCTAGTGATTCTCATGCCTCAGGCTCCTGAGTAGCTGGGATTACAAGTGTGCACCACCACACCTGGCTAATTTTGTATTTTTAGTAGAGATGGGGTTTCACCATGTTGGCCAGGCTGCTCTCGAACTCCTGACCTCAAGTGATCTGCCTATCTTGACCTCCCAGAGGTCTGGGACTACAGGTGTGAACCATCCCACCTGGTTGAAGATGCAATTTAAATGAAGGCCAGGGAGGTAGGGAATGAGGTTGAATACACACATAAAAGTCACAATAGACAGGTCTTTGTTTCTTTCTTCTTTTTTTTTTTCAGATGGAGTTTCACTCTTGTTGCCCAGGCTAGAGTGCAATGGTGCAATCTCGGCTCACTGCAACCTCTGCCTCCCTGGTTTAAGGGATTCTCCTACCTCAGCCTCTCAAGTAGCTGGGATGACAGGCATGTACGATCATGCCCAGCTAATTTTGTATTTTTAGTAGAAACAGGGTTTCGCCATGTTGGTCAGGCTGGTCTCAAACTCTTGACCTCAAGTGATCCACTTGCCTTGGCCTCCCAAAGTGCTGGGATTACAGCCATGAGCCACTGTGCTCAGCCAGGCCTTTGTAAGGAGTACAAGTTTCATACTAAGTACAGTGAGAAGTCACTGAAGAGGCTTTAATCAGGATCAGCCTACTTTTAAAAGATCTCTATATGATTTAAGGAAAGAAAATGGATTAGAGATTTCTGCTACCAATATAGAAGGCCAGGTAATTAGTACCAGCCCTCCTGCTGAAAACATCTTAAAAGGCTAGATGGACTATTTTTTAAAGTCTAAAGAGAATCATAGACTTAAAAGATGATAAGGGACCCCTGGTCTTAAATCTAGGAGAAGATAAGAACTCAGATAGGTAAGCCCAACATGCCAAGCCACTTTTTCCCTGAGGGTATTTGTGATGTGAAAGTAAGATCAAGTTTTGGAAGCTTCATGGCTTGAGATAGAAAAAAACAAAAAGCTGGCCAAAGGTCCAAAGTTTTGATATTTAATATGTTCTCCACTTTCCTTCCTCCACAAAAAAAACCCCACACTTACTCATTTTACCTGGGATCCAAAAGGGTTACATCCTTAGGGTGAACTAGAATAGTTAAGCTTGCCACCTGGATGTTTTAGGGAAAGTGACGCCTTGAATGCTTTGGTATGTTCTGACAAGTACTGCCTCCAGATACCTGGCATAAACAGTAAAAAAAAGAAAAGAAAAGAAAAAAGAAAAAAAATCTTTTCTGGAGTAAGGTACCATCACCCTAGTTCTCAAATTGTTCCTATAGATAATTTTCCAAATAGTGTCCAGCACACATTCAAAGATAATAAGACACATAAGGAAATATGACATCATGAAAGTGAATCATGAGAAGTAAAACAACAGTGTGTGTAACAAATTCTTTGAGAAATCAGGTTATGAAGCACAATAGAAAAATTAAGCAATATGGGGTGATGTGGAGTCAAGAAACCTCAGTTAAGAAGGTTGATGAGAATCATGCAATGGAATGATTGTTTGATAATGCCAGAGAAAGAGAAAAACTAAGGCAACACGAAATGTTCAAATTCTCTGAGAACTGATAATGCTGATTCCTAGCTCACAGATTCCTAATTTTTTTTTTTTTTTTTTTTTTTTTTGAGACAGAGTCTCACTCTTGTCGCTTAGGCTGGAGTGCAGTGGCATGATCTCAGCTCACTGCAACCTCTGCCTCCTGGGTTCAAGCGATTCTTCTGCCTCAGCCTCCTGAGTAGCTGGGATTACAGGCATGCACCACCACACCAGGCTAATTTTTTTACTTTTGGGAGAGATGGGGTTTTGCCATGTTGGCCAGGCTGGTCTCGAACGCCTGACCTCAGGTGATCTACCCACCTCTGCCTCCCAAAGTGCTGGGATTACAGGCGTGAGCCACTGTGTCCACTCGGCCAGATTCCTAAAATTTCTAACCTGAGAGTAAGTTTCTATTAAGCAAGCTGATCATAATTGACTTTTAAAAAACAATAACAAGGAAATTCTCAGTATTGAGCTGAAAGGAAACTCAGAGATTTTGTTTCTAGAAGAAAAAAACACATAACCCTATAAACATAAAAATATATTCCTGTTTTGTGAATTGTATAAATTGTCCATTCTGATATTTAACATCTCTTCTTACTAAATTCTTTTTTATAGTTCATGGAAATGCTTTTGACAGAGACATCAAATTATCAAGAACTTTTAAGACACACATCAATAAAGTAAATAAAGCACCCATTAATAAATCAAAAAAGTAAATATGTTACACAAAGCATTACCTGTTGACTCACTTTCTTTATCTTTTATATTTGTTTGAACAAAGAATGGTCTTAAATTTGACTTTTCAAAATTACTCTTTCTAGGTTCAGGCTCACATTTGAAAGACGCACGCCTGGAAGAAATAAAAATTAATTTAAATTAATGAGAAAATTTACAAAATAAATCTAATAAATAAATTTGGAGAAACGTGGTGAAGTCCTAGTTACGCTGACTTGGATGTTATATTAATGTTATCATAGTACAAAGTGCGAAACATTGGACTGTTTAAATAGGAGCTGAAAATATTAGTTTTAGTCATTTAAAGTAGAGGGGGATATAATCCAGTCCCACACTGTAACTGTTGTCTATAGGCCGATGTCCCAGATTTACAGTCCGGACTCTAACCTCTTCTCTGAACTTCAGATTTACATATCCAACTGCCCACATGACTCCTGCACTAAGCTTAATTGTAAGTATCTCGAACTTAACATATTCAAAGCCAAATTCTTGATTCCACCCCCTTCCTGATCTTCTCCTCACCCAGGTTTCCCCATCTCCGGTCAACCAGAGGCTTAGGCCAAAAAGTCTGCATACATCTTTTATTTCTTTTTCTTTTTCCACTCCCAACCTATCAGCAAATATTACTGTGTCTTTCTTTGAAACAGATTCCAAATCCAAACACCTCTTTCCTCATTGCTCCCATCCAAGTCCAAGACCCCTTTTTCATCTGAACTGCTTCCATATGTCTCTAGCCTTCTTCTGTTTGCTTTCCCTGCTATTATACTTGTCCTCAACATTCTCTTCGCAATACAGCCGTAGCAACACTTGTAAAATATAAATGTGACTATCATTTCCTTCAACTGTTTCCTATCAAACTTGAGTAAAATTCAAAATGCTCCCTAACAGACAGAAACTTTCCCCCCAGTTCTCATTTCTAAGTAGCAGAATTTCCACTGATTGCCACTCCAGGCCCCTCTCTGCATACCCCTTCACCTCTCACCTCCACATGAACGCTGAGCAAATTTTCTAGCTGTTTGGTTCAGGGAAAGGAATTTAGGCTCCACTTAAGGACTTTGCTCTTTCCTCTGCCTGTAGTATTCTCCCCACAAGGGGTTGACGTGGCCTACTCCTTCATTTCAGTCTCCACTCACATTTCCACCTCAGAAAGATCTTTCCAGCCCATCCCACTTCCCCCATCTAAAATAGTAACCCCTGTTCCTCTACAGCATTCATCACTGGTGAATTTACATTATATATTTATTTGTTTATTTAATTTATTATCTGTCTCCCCACCTTATCCTAGATTGTAAACTCTGAGAGCAGACTACTTATGTGTTTTATTCACTGTGGTATTTTAGCACCTATAGCATGACTGGTACATAGCACATGTTTAATATTCATTAAATGCCTAATAGGCCAGGTGCAGTGGCTAATACCTATAATCCCAACACTTTGAGAGGCTGAGGCAGGTGGATCACCTGAGGTCAGGAGTTCGAGACCAGCCTGGCCAACATGGCGAGACTCCATCTCTAGTAAAAATACAAAAATTAGCCAGGTGTGGTGGCACATGCCTGTAGTCCCAGCTACTCAGGAGGCTGAGGCAGGAGAATTGCTTGAATCCAGAAGACAGAGGTTGCAATGAGCTGAGATAGTGCCACTGCACTCCAGCCTGGGCGACAGAGAGAGATTTTGTCTCAAAAGAAAAAAAATAATTATTGAATGCATAGGATTTTTGGTAAATTTTTATTGAACTTTCTTATCATCTTACATTTTCCAATGGGTTTTCAGGTTATTCTCTCTTTTAATAAATAATTATGTAATCTTCATAAAATAATTTATGTGCTCCTTCAAAAAAATGTATCTTATGTTCTTATTTAATATCATTGGGGAGGACTTCTAGAAGAGTGTAGTATACTAGTGAGAATGGGCATTGTTCTGTTTCTAATTTGAATGAGAATGAGTCAAGGGTTTCTAAGGATGATGCTGGCTATACAGTCTTGTTAAGGAGGTAATATTTTATCTTTATCTTAAAAATACTTACGTTGCTAAAGTATTTTTTTCAAACTCATTTGCAAAGTATATAAAGATATTCACATATGAATTTCCTTGTGGTAAACCAAAGAGCATAGGCTTTGAAGTTAGACCTTACTTTGCATCTTGACTCTGTGTGAACTTCCATAGAATATTGAATACTATGAATCTCAGTCCTTCATATGTCAAATAAGGCTAATAGTTACCTCAAGGGATTGTTGTAAGAATTATGTAAAATAAAGTTTAGAAAGTGATCAACAAAATGTCACAGAGATAAATGAGGATACTGATTCTTATTCCTGAAATTTACTCCACTTAGTCATAGTGGAGTAATATTTATTTAACATAGTTTTGGATTTCATGTTGTTAAAATAAGTTGTTGAGTGGCAATTATTTCGTTGCCTTAGAATTGGTGACCAGGTGACTTTTTACTCCATAGCTGAGTAAAAAGGAGCAATACATACTCTATATTCTACAAAGATCCACCAATACTTGGAGCAAGAGATGCTTTTAGGCCTTCAAATAAAAGAAAACTGGTGAGGGAAAAAAGAAAAATATCAGAATTGTGAGTCATTGACCTGTTAGGGTCTGCTGTGGCTTTTTCCTCTTTTCTCTGCACATCTGTTAGACACCACACTTGCTGATTTGCCCCATGTCAAAGTTGGAGCAGGTGAAATTAAGCAGATAAAGTAGGTACCCTGCAGTACACTGTTTGGCATGGCCAGGATATTTGAGTTTCTGAGGAAATGCTATGGACTGAATGTTTGTGTCCCCCTCAAATTCAAATGCTGAAGCTTAAATCTCTAATGTTATGGTATTTGGAAGTGGGAGCTTTGGGAGATAATTAGGTTATGAGGGTATAGCCTCATGAAAAGGGTTTGTGTTCTTCTAAGAAGAGTTGGTCTAACTCCTTCTCCCCCTCTCTCTCTATCTGCCTTTCTGTCTATCTCCTCATGACGTGAAGATACAAAGAAACAGCCAACTGCAAACCAGGAAGAATACCCTCACCAGACACCCAATCTGCTGGAACTTTGATCTTGGACTTCCTGGTCTCAAGAACTGTGAGGAATAAATTTCTGTTGTTTAAGCCACCCAGGCTATGGTGCGCTATTGTAGCAGCCCATACTAAGACAGAAATTAGTAATGAGCAGTGGGGTGCTGCTGTAACAAATACTTGAAAATGTGGCAGTGGCTTTGGAATTGGTTAATAGGTAGAGGCTGGAAGAGTTTGGAAGTACATGCTAGAAAATGCTGACATTGCCAAGGAGATATTAAAGGTGACTTTGGTGAGGGCTCAAAAAGAAAAGAGAAAAACGTCCATTTTCTTAGAGAATACATAAGTAATTATGAATAAAATGTTGGTAGAAATATGGATGGTAAGGGCCATTCTGATGAGATCTCAGACGGAAGTAAAGAACATGTTATTGGAAACTTGAGGAAAGGTGGTCCTTGTTATAAAATGGCAAATAACTTGGCTTGTGTTTGTGTTTTAGTATTTTGCAGAATGTAGAAATTGTAGGCAATGAAATTGGATAGTTAGCTGAGGTTAGTTCTAAGCAAAGTGTTGAGGAGTGACTTGGTTCCTACTGATATTTATAGTAAAATGCAAGAGGAGAGAAATTAATTGAAGATGAAATTGTTAAGGAAAAAGGAACCAGAAGTTAAAGATTTGAAACATTTTCAGTCTGCCCATATTACAAAAAATGAAAAAGTATGCTTGGGAGAGAACACTAAAGGTATGGTAAGTTGACCATTTGCTAGGTAGGTCAGTGTGGATGTGTACCAGGGACCAAATCAGCCATCTCAACAGAAGCCAGGAATAGAGATAGGATTATACCAGCAGAAACACTGCCAGCTGGGACTAAAGGAAACAGAGAAAGTGGGACAAAATGAAAGAAGACTGTTGCACTTCTTAGATTCTACAGGACCAGACCATACAGCTATTGTATGCAGCTGTTCAGCTATAAATGTACACTGTTTTTCAAGACAAGGGAAGAAGGACCTCAAAAGCAATTCAAAGATGATCAGGGTTGCCACTCCCACAACAGGCCCAGAGGGCATGTACTCAGGGGACACGGCTGCCTCCATTTCTGTTTCAAAGGGTAAGATCCCTGCCCAGTGGGGCCAAGGGTGTGCAACTCCCACCAGACAGAGCTTCAGAGGCGAGACCACTGCCTGAGAGGGTTCTGGAGGCAGGACTACTAGTCTACTGAATCTAGAAGGCAGAGCTTTAAGCCAAAGAGGATTATTCTCAAACCTTAGGATCTCATAGAGTTTGCCTTGCATGGTTTTAGAATTACTTGGAACCTGTCATTTCTCCCTTCTTTCTTATCTCTCCCTTTTGGAATGAGAATGTCTATCCTACACCCATCCCATCAATGTAGCTTGGAAACATACAATTTGTTTGCTTTCACAGGTTCACAATTGGAGAGAAATTTTGCCTCAGGATACTGTTACCTCAGGTCTCATCCATATCTGATTTAGATGATACTTAGATGAGAGTTTGGACTTAAGAGTTGATGGTGAACCAGTTAAGACTTTTGGGTCTATTTGGATGGGATGAATGTATTTTCCTTGTGAGAAAGATATAAATTTGGAGGGGACAGGGGTGGAATTCTACAGACTGAATATCTGTATCCCCTTCAAATTCATATATTAAAGTCTAAATCCCCAAAGTTATGGTTTTGGGAGGTGCGGCCTTTAAGAGGTAATTAGGTCATGAGAGTGTAGCCTCATGAATGGGATTAGTGCCCATACAAGACATGAGACAGGTACTATCTCTCCCTCTCTTTCTTGCTGCCATATGAAGATACAATAAGAAGACAGCTGTCTGCAAAGCAGGAAGAGTGTCCTCACCAGACACTGATCTTGGACTTCCTAGCCTTTAGAACTATGACAAATAAATTTCTGTTATTTAAACCACCCAGAGTAAGGTATTCTTTATAGCAGCTTGAACTGACTAATATAGGAGGTCAAATGGATACTGAGATAGTAGCTGTGTTTAGGTCATTTTGCTGATACTCTACCCAGATTGCTGACTGCAAGCTTGGGGATCCTTTGCAGAAGAAATTGTGGCATATATTGGAGAGTATAGGAGTTGAT